CAAATTCATAAAAATAAAAATGGCAAAATATATAACTTTAATAAAAAATTAATAAAACTAAAAGTTTAGATTTTTTGGCATACTAAAATGAATTTATAAAAGCAACTTTATTTATATTATTTTATTATTTGATAAAGATTATTATATATGTATTTAATTATTATTATTTATTTAAATAGATTAGAAATTAAATATATAAATAATATAATTTCTTTTTTTATATAATTAAAAAATAATTAATAATGATATATATTATATAAATAAATAAAATATTATATTTAATTAATACTGATTATTATATTACTAATTATAATTAAAAATTTTTATAAATATATTAAATGTTTTAATTTTTTTAGTAATATTTATTTAAAATTTATTAAATAAATTAATAAATATAAAATATATTAATTATTTATAATTTAAAAAAAATATTAATTATAAATAAATTTAATATTTGTTATTTTATTATATAATTATAAATAACATAATTTTAGAAATTTTAAAATATTTTATTTTTTTATTATAATTATAAAAGTTAATTAATAAAATAATAATAAACATTAGTATTTAGAAATTTAAAAATAAACTTAAATAAATAATATTTTATTTTATTATAAATAGGTTTAAATAAACTAAAATTAAAAAAAATTTATATTATTTAATATGAAAAATTATAAATAAACAATAATATAAATATTATTTTAATATTAATTAAAAAAAAAATAATAAGTTAAAAGTAAATTATAATATTAAATAATCTAATATTACAAATACTTTTTACTTATAATGAATTTAAATTTAATTATAACTAAGATTGCTTATTTAAACTCATTTTAGATATGACAAAACATTTATACTTTAGTTTGCTAATTTTTTATTAAGACTTTGATATAGATTTGCATTTTTATAAGCTTTGATATAGTTTTACCTTTTCTAGAATTTTGCAGATTCTTTACAAAATCTCTAGATTTTATTTAGCAATCTTAATTATAACATTTTAATTAATTTAAAATTTAAGATTATAATTTTTATATATTATATAAATAAAACTTTTGTAATAAAAATTATAAAAAGAAAACAAAAATAAGTTTATATAAAATTAATATATTTTAATTTTAAAAAATATAAAAATAATAAAAAACCTTTTGAAAAAATTGTTAAAAAAAAAAAATATTTTAATTTAAATATTTAATTAAATTTTAATAAAATAAAAATTTTTAAATCTGATTTTTTTATTTAAACAAATTTTATAAAATAAATATATTTATTAATTTTACTTTAATAATTTTATATATTTAAAATAATTATAGATTATATAAATCATTATAAATATTAATAATAAATGGGAGGATTTTTAAGAAAATCAGGTTCTGAGAAATTTTTGAGATCTTAATGCATTTTAATCTAATAACATCAAAAACTAAAATGCCAATAAAAATCTCAATTTTGTTAAAAAAATTCCCGGAGCCTGATTTTCCCTAGCAATCAACCCAAATGATCTAAATAATTTTTTTAATATATTAAATTTATAAACTTATAAATATAATATATAAATTTATTTAATTAAATATTAAATTAAATTAATTTAATATTTTTATTTAATTAAATCTAATACAGTAAATTTTTAATAATTTAATCTTTATTAAATTTATCATAATCTGTTAATTTAGGTAACCAAAGTATTCCGGAATTGTAATCATACCTCTTGATAATTCTTTAACATGTGATATGTCATTTTCTTTACGTTATATCAAAATCCAACAAAATATTTTCCATCAAATAAATCCAATGCCTAGCATTCCTTGTTTGTGTATCATAACTTCATATCGAGTAGGTTTGTAGTATATCTAATGGGGGTAAATACAGTATCTAAACTCAAACAGTTCTCTCCTTTACGGTTTCTCAAAATGTTGCTGATCTGCGCACATTGGTCAGCATTTTTAATAAAGATTTAGAAAGACACACCAAATTATTTAAATCTCGGAGAATCGTTCAAAAACCTAAGCCTTAAATGAACAATTAACGTGGAAGCAATTCACATCTGTTGTTCATGCAAAATCGTTTATTTATATTACTCAATTATACGTATTTAATTCGCAACTGTTTGGTATAATGATACAATTTATTTATTTATTTTTTAAATACATATTATTATTATGATATATCGAAAACTTTTAAAGGAAAAAAAAAATTAAAGTTAACGATAAATTTGAAATTAAATATACAATAAGAAATATTTATAAAAGATGAAATATAATTTAATATATTGAATAATTTAATATTTCAACTTATACTCCCAAGAAAAAATCCATTTCATCATCATCCTCTTCATTATTTAATAGCCAATTTAAAGTCCATTCCCATATCATGGAAATTAAAGAGGCGGCAGGAGGTGTCCAAGGTGGCAAAAATGGATCGTCATCGTCATCTGGCGCATTAAAGAACGGAAGACATCCTCTTGATTTCTTATTTTTCTTCTGATTATCGTCAATGCTTGAAGGTAGATGATTGTATATAACGTCATAATCAAATTTAATAACGTGCTCTTTGGGAATTTCCTTCTCTTTCTCCTTTCCTTTTTCGGTCTTTTCTTCTTTCTCTTCTGTATTTTCTTCGATATCACTCATTAACAACCTACTCCGTCTTTTCAATTCCTTTCGTTTATTCTTGGCCTTAGTTATAGTCAAAAAAATTTCACTTATATAAACACTCCAAGCTAATCCAGTTCTCTTCAATCTTTCTTTATCATTATAATCTTTTTCGATCAACATTGAAATTAAAGCTTTTGGTTGTTGTACTTTCAACTTTTTCTCTATAATACTAAAGCATTTTGATAACCTTTCTTTTGCTTTGAACTCTTTATAAAGTTCTCTTTCACAAAGTTCTTCTTCGCTTAGGTCTTTGGTATCACATAATTCAATCTTAATCTCTTCAGGGTTTAGTAAATCTATTTCCCCCATTTCCCATTCAATGTTCAAACATTTAATCAGAGCAGCTAATACGATACCATCATTCAATCCTATAAAATCTTCCAAAGGATAATTCGATGAAGGTAATAACGTTGTATAATTAATTAATTGCATGTTAATCCAAAACAATAAATTAGACGTATTGGAATTTATTGGTGAAGAATTCAAACGTAAGGTTGTAAACCGCTTTGAGGATTGATCGTCATTTGATTTATTATCGTTAGTGATCGTGGATTGAAATATTGGTAATGATAATCGCTTTTCAGACTTTGATAAGTTTAGCAAATTTTTTTTTGGAAGCTCTGAAATGATTATTTCAGGAACTAAGGGTGAAGGAGGGGGAGAGGGAGAAGTGATGGGGGAATTATCTTCTGCGGATGTTTGCGCATTACACGTATCTATTTCTTCTTCCTCGTAAATTGTAGGAGAAATAACTTTCTCATTAAAGATTTCTTCGACGCTAATAAAATGAGACCTAAATTGTTGTTGAAATTCTTCAAAAGACTTTATTTCATTTTCATCATCATTATTAAACAAAAGCTTTTGAATGTCATCGTGTTTATTGTATTCTTTCTTATTATTCATAGTTTCTTTAAATCTTTCTTCAACTTCTTCTAATTCCTCCTCAGTAACTTCAAATTGTACGCTAAACGTTTGTATAAATTTTGAAATCATTAACCAAATCAATCCTAAAGTCAACTTAACACTACCATCAACGAGGTCTTCAGCGCCTATAGCCGCCAATGCGGTTAAACCTTTTTCATCCAAATGTTTTTGTAAGAATTTCAATACCTTACTAACGTTAGCAATTTGATGATGTCTCGTACTACCACGTTCAAGTTTTGGTAATTCCGAATCATTTGGATATAATATTTCAAGTAATTGTATTAATTTTTTTCCATCTCGAAAATCCTTGTCAATTGCCTTGATTTCTGGAAATTTTTTCTCTGAGGAGGAATTATCCATATGATTAATATCAATCATACGTAATTGCAAGTTAACCCATCTTGTGAAGGTTGATTTTTGTAATTCCGTATATTTATCAGCTATGTTTGAATGAATCTTTTGTTTTACATTAACGACTTTTGTGGTGGTGTCCCACTGTTCTCTTAATGAATTACGACGTTTTGGTTTCGTTGGTGAGGATGGTTGTGGCATATTTAATCAAATCGGAGAATGAATAATAAAAAAAAAAAGGGAAAAAAAGAAAATCGGAAATGATTTTATATAAAATTCTTTAAATAAGGAGCACGACCGAAGGGGGTAAATCAAATGATCAAATTAAATTCCTGTTATGGGGGTCTTTTAAATTCGATTCGGCCGTGTAACGTCGACCTTGAAATCATCTTTCTTAAAAGTTCTTACTTTTATTTTTCCTTGGAGCTTCCATGTTTACAATTTTCCTTGGAGGCTTCCATGTTTACAATCATTAGGTACAAAATTTATGCACGATTTTGTAATGGAGACATAATTCGAACTTTACAAATTTCGGCAGGATTTATTGGCAGAAAATAGCACAAACATTCATAGAATGGATGTTTGAATTGTTACATATGACAATTTGTTGATTATTATTATGTCACCTCGTGCGTCATTTTATAAATTTTTTTTTTTAATAATAAACCGATCGTGCGACGAAAAAAAGATACTCCTGATACTAATTTTAATGGAACTTTTTTTTTTGGGAGGATCATATGAAGCGAGAAAGGGATTATCATCTCGTAGTATATAAATATTGTATTAATTTTTTCTGCTCATCTTTTTATACAGTATATTAATTTGTATTAATTAATCTCTTTTTAACCTTTTTTTTAAACAAAATAAATTGGTTTGTAAAAATTAGCTATGGTCAAGATGCACGTTTGGTTGTGGGATTTTCAATATAAAAAAAAATTCAATGTTCAAAGATATTCGATTATAAATAAATAATTTTACTTTCTTAAAAAAAAAAAAAAAAAAAAAAAAAAATAAAAAAATAAAAAAATAAAAAAATAAAAAATTTCTTTAAACATATATGCTCAATTTTTCTCAATGGATCCTCGTACCTTTACTAGATCACAAGCGCTTGGCCGTAGACTAAATAAGCCAGAACGTTACCAGCCAACGGGACCACTTCTGACGGGAAAGACTCAAGAAAACAAATCTTGTTGGGTGATATTTTCTAGAATAATAACATTCTGGGCACATCCTGCCTTGTTATCTTCAGTAGGGGGTCTACATGATAAACAATCAAGACAAGCATGGCGCGAAAAGATTGCTTTATGTTTTATCGCCTTGACCATGAGCGGTTTCGTTGCTTTTGTGACCATTTGTCTTACTTCATTCTTATGTCCTCCTTCGGATACATCGAATTCCTCAAATTTCTCGAGATTTAATCAAACACCAGGTAAAAAAAAAAACCTCTAAAATAAATAACCTTTTTCCCGAGGATTGAACAATAATTTCTTTATCTCTTGAATGATAAAATAATTAGGCGTTCTTGGGATACTGGGCTGGCAATTTAACGTATTAAATGCACAAATACCGGGACTCTCCGTGATTGATATACTGAAAAACGGAGCCGGACAAGATATTTCAAACTATTTCAAACGAAATAATAAACACATTCATTCTTGTGTGAAAGCAAGTTTTTTAAATTTTGCGATTATTAGTAACGACCTTTGTGCGAATAAGGATTTTTGTGTTTTAAATTATACAATTAATGACGAAAATCTTAGACAATTAAACTTGATAAACACGACGAGGAGGGTTGGATATGATTGGGATCAACTTGTACCGTTAAGTAATTACATAGTCATTGACGGAAATGTGTTAAATTTAGAACCTTACTTGACAACCGTAGAAGAAAATGAAAATGATTTAGTTGATAAAATTATTCGTAAAGTATTAAAATCAGGGGGGAAGGATGCGACGCGTTATTTTGATAGAAAAAAAGAATTGAGGGAAGCTATGAGATGTATTATCGATAAATATTTTGCCGGAAACATTGATAAAGATACGATCGGATGTTTTACATCAAAACTTTTCTTATACGTTTCATTAGTGGTGATATTAGGAATTTTAATGTCACGATTTTTAATGGCTTGTATTTTTAACTGGTTCATTTCACCTAGGCTCGCACATCAACCAGACAACGCATCTACAGTTCATCCACGATTGGTTGACAATTCAAACGTGACAATGGATGAAGTTGGAAATAATTTATTTACCGTATTGCTAGTCACATGTTATTCGGAGGGTGAAGCTGGTATAAGAACTACTTGTGAATCAATGGCCGCCACGGATTATCCAAATAATAGGAAATTGTTGTTCTTGATTTGCGATGGAATTATTACTGGCAGTGGGAATTTAAAGAGTACGCCCCAGATTTGTGTAGAAATGATGGATCTCTCTCCAGAATTCAAACGTCCTCAACCAAAGAGTTATATCGCTATTGCTGATGGTGCTAAACAACATAACATGGCTAAGGTTTATGTTGGTCATTTCCGTAAGTTTTTGGAATAAAAATGACGTTTTAATTTCAAAGTGCATTTAATATATATGTGTGTATATTGCTTATTTATTATTTATTTTATTTATATTTTTTTTTTTTTTTTTTTTTTTAAAAGGTCACAAGAATAAACGTGTTCCAATGATTACTGTTGTAAAATGTGGCAACCCAGACGAAAAAGACGGTCAAAAACCTGGAAATCGAGGCAAACGGGATTCCCAATTAATTTTAATGAATTTTTTTAGTCGTGTTACATATAACGATCGCCTCCCTTCTCTGGATTATGATCTATTCCGTAAGATAAAACATATCATGGGCGTGACACCGGATTATTTTGAAGCCGTTCTTATGGTAAATCATTTAAAATCAATCCATTTGCAAAAAAAAATAAATTTTGAAAAAAATTCAACCTGTGATTAATTTTTTTTTTTAAAAAAAAAATAAAAGGTGGACGCCGATACCAAAGTATACCCTGATTCATTGCGATTACTCATTAATTGTCTGTGTAATGACTCTAATATCATAGGACTTTGTGGTGAAACACGGATCGCAAATAAACGGGAATCATGGGTTACGAGTATCCAAGTATTCGAATATTACATTTCTCATCATTTAGGGAAAGGTTTCGAATCAGTATTTGGTGGGGTAACTTGTTTACCAGGTTGTTTCTGCATGTATCGACTTAAATCTCGTAAAGATAATGATTGGATTCCAATTTTAACGAAACCGGAAATCGTACAAGAATATTCTCAAAATATCGTAAACACCCTTCATCAAAAGAATTTGTTACTTCTCGGTGAGGATCGTTTCTTGACGACTCTCATGTTAAGAAATTTTCCTCGTCGTAAAATGATCTTTTGTCCTCAAGCAATTTGTAAAACTGTTGTACCAAGTGATTTTAAAGTTTTATTGTCCCAAAGGCGTAGATGGATCAACTCAACTTTACATAACCTTATGGAACTGGTGTTGGTCAGAAACCTTTGTGGAACCTTTTGTTTTTCCATGCAATTTGTTATTTTTATGGAATTAATAGGAACCGTTGTATTACCGATCGCTCTCTTATTAACCTATAGTTTATTAATCTCTAATGTTATGAACCCTCCACGATCTTTTGATGAGGCAATACCATTAATAATGTTAGGAGCTGTTCTTGGATTACCAGCCATTTTAATTTTAATTACCACGAGAAAACTTGTTTACGTTCTTTGGATGTCTATATATTTAGCATTTTTAGCCGTATGGAATTTCATTTTACCTTTATATGCTTATTGGCATTTTGATGATTTTTCATGGGGTGAAACAAGAAAGGTTGAAGGGGAAAGTAAGGACGATGATCATGGTAAAAGAGATGGTCGATTTGATTCTTCTAAAGTTCCATTAAAACGTTGGGATGAATGGGAAAGAGAAAGGTTAATGGGTCAACGAGGTCGATTATTTCAAAAAAACCAAGACCTTTACTATACAAATAATCCTCAAATGACACAACGACATAATATCAATCGCTATTATATATAGATAATTTATTTAAAAAAAAAAAACTTTTAAAAGATGTTGCCAATCATTTCTACAATTGGATAAATTATTTATCTTTGTGTCACAGTAAAAATTTATTTCATGATATAGTAAAATAAATACAACATAAGAAAAAAAAAATGGTAAATATTTTTAGGGGATACGTCATCCACAAACCTTTTCCTCTAAAAATCTAGCGATGGCATCGATACCAAATAATTCAGCTTCGATAGTATCCAATGAATGACCAGTTTCTTTATACATTTTACAAGTAATTTCAACATTTCCTTTGCCTTTTAAATAATAATACCAATTTAATCCATCAATATTTGGAACCCTTTTATCTTCGGCTCCCAACATTAATAAAGTAGGTGTTTTAACCTTATCAATATTATGAATTGGTGAATGTTCATACATCTTACTATAATCTGATGGTGTCACTAATGATGGATGTGCTAGTGAATAAGGCAAGCCTATTTCTGAAAAACACCTGTGAATTAAAAAAAAGATTTAATTTTTTTTTTTTTTTTTTCAAATAATTCGAATTGTAATTACATACCAATCTGGAATATCGGTAACAGACGCCATTTCTAAAAAAAAAAAAAAAAAAAATCAATTTTTAAATCTTTAAATTTGAAGAGTCGAATCTTAAATAGTAAAAAAAAAAAATAATAATACATACGTCCAATATTTAACACGGGATTTCTCATTACACAGGCTTTATAGAAATCTGGATATTTTCCGATCAAATGAGCCGAAATAAATCCACCGTGACTTCCACCTATCGCGATTACTTTGTTGGGATCTACGCATTCATTGTCAATAATATATTGTGCGGAATCCTACAGAGAATATTATACAAATAAAAATCATTTATTTTTAAAGAAGTTCTCGTTATATATACAGTACCTGTACTTCCTCAACTTCAAGTACGCCAGCTTTACCAACTAATGCGTTAATAGAATCTTGTCCAAACCCAATACTGCCAGTATAGTTAACTCGAATAAAAAAAAAATAACCATCCTTAGGTCACAAATATAAATATAAACGATCAAATAAATTAAAATAAAATACCTGCTGCAACGGCATAACCTAGTGAAACTAAGGTGGTTATATATAACCTGATATCCGGCGTAGTCACTGAATGAGGTCCACCATGCGGAAATACTAACAAAGGTAATTTTGTACCTTCAGAAATTTCATTGGGTCTTATGAAAATAACTTCTAAATTGTTGTTATTTGGAACCGGTTGAATGGTTGACCAAGTGATGTTTGATAAAATAGGTTCGACTATAAAATACATAAAAAATATTTAGAAATTAGAAATTGTATTTGAATTTTAATAACCTAAATTACCTTCTTCAACATTTGGCTTATCTATACATGTCCAATCAACTTCTAACATATCCTTTTGATATCCTGTTACAATACCAAAATACTAAATAAAAATGATGAATTTATTAATAATCAATCTAATCTACTTTCTAAATATCTAATTTATTTATATACATATAACATACTAATTCATTGAACTCATTAGGTGCCCCTCTTGACGCAATGATGTAATTATTACATGCAAGAAATAGCGTCCAGCTTCCCGTTTGAGTAAGATCCTGGACTCTTCCAGTTTCCAAATTTATAGCTAATAAAACTCCTCTACTTCTCCAATAACTTTGAATTATTAAAAACTCTTTGCCTTCAAAGACGATAAATGGTTTTCTACTCATTTGGTCATTATAAATGCCAGGGAATCCATTTTGGAATGAATGTGATGGTGTATGAACAACCGGAACTATAACACCGTGTGTGTTGGTTGAAAAATTATACTATAATTTTTTTAAATATAACGTTAGACTTTAAACCATTACTGTTTTTAATTTAAAACATTAATTTACCTCGCGAAGTTCAGAACAATAACTATGCGGTCCACTAGTTGGATTAGAATAATAAACCTATTCATGTAATATAATTAATTGATCTTTGTTGAATTAAATATAAAAAAAAAATTTACAAAATTTATACAAACCAAAACTTTTTCAGAAGGACTAAGTCTTGGAGAACGAGCATGTTCCAATTGCTGGGTCAAATGGACTAAAATAGAAACAAATTAATTTTCTAAAATTATAAAATTTACAAATAAGCAATAAATTATATCATACCTAAATCTTTTCCATCAGGTTTACATTGATATATTCCACCGCTAAATTAAAAATTTAAAAACTAATAATAATTATGATGATATTTTAAAAATAATATATAGTATATATATTATTTAATCATACATTCTGTTGATACAAGCGGTAATTCCATAATAACGTGGTTCTCTATTATATCCGTTGAATATAAGTGTTTCATCTTTCGGACCAAAGAATACCTATTTACAAAATAGGTATTATCATTTTTTTTTTTAAAAAAAAAAAGTAAAGTAAAGAAAAAAAAGGTAATAACAAACGAACCTGTCCGGGAAATATTTTTTCAAATTCAGGTAAAACCTCAACTTTATATTCCAACACATTCACGATGACAATAACCGATACACATTTATTAGGCAAGGTTTCTCCCCATCCAGGAAGAAAATCACATTTCTAAAAGGCATGTAGGTTAGAATTAAGTAGTATAAAATTAAATTTGTTCGGTTTTGATATACCTTTTCGTCTTTTTCATCCAATGCTTTTCGTTCAGCAATATAAACAACATTCTCTTCATTTCTAGACCATTTCAAGCTTCCAAAATTAACTAAGTAAATAACAATTAATAGATATCATTTTATGTTGCCATAACATATAGTTTATTACTTACCATCAGAATAAAAATCTCCATGAGAGTCGGTCACGTCAATAGATTGTTTCAAAGTTCCTTTAATCCAAACCTAAATTTAAAGCCGCAAATTTAAAGTATTCCTTTTTTTTTTTTTAAAAAAAAAAAAATTTCAATCAATCAATCAATCATACCTCAACAAATTTCTTTTTTCCTTTATCGTTTGAAACTGATCTTAATATTAATAATTTATTACCACTTGGTGATTCAGCTTGTAAAACTACATCACCTAAATCTACAGGTAAAAATGATGATGTGATAATTTTTGCCGTTGTATCTAAACTTCCTTTAGTTGGCAATGATACGACCAATTGTTTAACGATTTTTCTTTTAAGTTTCCTTTTCAAGTCTCTTTGACTTAATATTACTTGAATAGCTAGATAATTAGAGAGTTACAAATAACTATAAGTTTGAAAGACAATAAAAAATTCTCGACTTTAAAAAAGTAAGTTTCGGAAATTAATTTACAAAGTATGGAAGGATTATCTTCATTGGATAAAACTTTAACACCAGAATAAGTTGGTATTTTAGCTAGTGATTTAAACGTTTTTAGGCCGATACCATCTTCGTACTCATTACTATTATCAGGTGAGGATTCACCAGTCGTTTGAACCGACTTTTCAGTAAAAGTCATGGTTTAAATGAAAAAAAAAAAAAAATTTTTTTTTTTTGAATGGTAAGTACAATCAATTTGCGGAAGTATTTATAATCTCGAGAAAATCCATAAAAAGATAAATGATCAAAATGATCATCATATTTGATGGCATATATATTTGTATAAATTAAAATTTTAAGGAGCAGCAGAAGCGATACTTTGTGAGTAATTACGATAAAGTTTATTTGCAAATGCCATGCGTCTATAGGTTAAAAAATTCCGATGAAGATTAAGGTATTTGTGCAACGCATTTTTACGAGTGTCTCGATATAATGGACAATATCGATGTTCCGAATTGAGTTTTACCATCTTCGATATGTGTTAATGGATAATATAGTATGCTGCGCCTTGTTCCATATCATAAAATTCGATATGTCACGTGAATGTGTTTTAATAAATTCATTCTTTTGAACTCCCATTTCTAAACAGAGGAAAATCATATATATGAATTCAAAGTATAATAGGGCCCAATATTAATCGCGATTAAAATTTCGAAATAGAACATTGGTTTATAAATGAAATTTATTTAATGAAATAGAAATGTCGCTGATTACAAATACAAATAGATCATATTATATATGTAGTTACATACGGAATATATAATATTACATTTTAATAAATATTCTAATCATTTGTTATATAAAAGGATGACTTTGGTGTTGCCGATGTGAAATTTACTAATTCACTAATATAGAAAAGAGATAAAATCAAAATAATGGTCTTTTCGGGTACAACAAGATGTTATATACCTACTTTTTCAGCAATTCTTGCAACCGTAAACGCATTGACAAGTTGTTTTAAAGAAACCTCCACATCGTCCACAGCAGGGAATTTTTCCTCCGTCTTGGACCTTGTATTTGCAATGATAATTGCATATACCCTCATCTCCTGGGCATCCAAATCCAGAAAGGACAACTTGCGCAGATATTAATAGAAGAACGAAAACGATAAGCTGTCGCATCATGATGTATTTTCAAACAATAAGTGTAGAATATAAGTGTGAGAATATTTGAAAATCTTGGAAAAACTCTGGTATGTCCTTGTATGTCGAATCCTGACATTTTTATATTGTTTCATTCGCTTGACCCAAGAGATTATTAAAAGAACTTATTGTCTTCTTCAGGTTTAACAATCCTTGAAATGACTTCAAAATTACCACAGCTTTATAAATTTAATGTCATTTGATAAAAAAATAATAAATAAATGATTTCATCACTAGAATTGGTGGGCTGTTCACATATTGTATTATATAGCGATCATCAATGGGACTTACTAATAAATATTACAAGAAACCGCAACGTTACATTGAGAACTTTATTTGATTGAATTGAACTAGTGACTTAATAAATAAAGGTTATAAGAAACCGAAATATAATTATATCGGACCATAATTGTATTCAATTCGTTTGGGCTTACTTTTAAAGTATTTCTGATCCAAAAAGTATTTTAAAAATATGCAATGACGCTTTTGAATCATCTTTCCGCTTTTGAAATTGAGGAAATATTAAAAGATAACACCAATTATTTAAAATTATTTAAAAATAATATATAATATAATTGTCAATACTGTGATATTATCCATCATAATCTGGTAATAGTATTGAACTTGTCAAAAGAATTACTATATCCACAATTTATAGAAAAAGCGAATTATTAAAACATGCTGGAGGAAATGGTCGACCTAAAAAATTATCGCAAGTGCGCACTTAGTCAATATGAAGACACGTTACTTCTTTTTCCACAAGAACTTTGGCAAGAAAATTAGAAAATATAGGCGTGAAAGTATCCGTACTCCCCAAGGTGACACTAATGCTGACCGAATCACACAAGCTAATACGTGTTGAGTGTGCACGAAAACATATTAATGATCGATGAAGTCCGGTTCGTAAGGATCGTCAATAAATTATTGCGTGAGGGGGGCTTTTATGCAAATGGAAAAAAATCATTTTTAAGCAAATTATGAATGCTGAGTTTTATGTGGATATTCTTTCCAGATGCTATGTAGACGTTGGCGCTTAAGAAAATAATCCCAAGCATACAAAGTCGTCTTGCTAGGCCTTTCTTCTATCGAAAAATTTATGGTGGAGGAATGGCTAAATATTTCAGAAACTGTTTTAATCAATCTTTCAAAGTCAAATGAGACGACGTATACCATATGAATTTTTTTTTACTGGATCTTCGGCTTTAAAATAGGGGAATCTTAACCTGCACCCGGGGTTTAGGCACCTTATCTTAGACCTCCATTCTAAAAATGAAGGAAATTCTAAAGAAGGTCCTTCATTCTTGTTCTTCACTTTAAATGGTTAATTATTCACATTTTTACTATTTTCTTCATTTCATCTTCACTTAATTGAATACATTCTTTTTTATTTTATCATCATTAGGACTAATTGGTGTAACTATATAAAAACGTTATATTCTCTGATTTATAAGTAAATAAAATATCACTTTGAATTTGATTCATAACCAAAACTATTTTTTGCTATATATTATAAATAAATAAAGCCTAGATTAATTTATATAATATAATAATTAAAGGAAAAAGTTACCTCTAATTGATTTTTCCAATTAGTATATAAATAGCTATACTTGATCATAATTGTTCTACTGAAGCAGAATTAATATAAATGCTATAAAAATGAATTGCAATATAAGCTAATTCTGGACTTATACCAATTTTGAAATTTCAAACAATCATCAAATTTTTATGAAATTGATTAAATGAATCCATATCATATAGATTTTTAATTTTTTTATATTTAATTAATTTATGTAAATTAATATAAGCTTAAATCCAGATTATAATTTATAATAATATTTTAACTATTGTAATATAAATTTAAATAAGATTTGAAGTGATAAATAGAATATTTATAATTTATAAGATGGATAAAATAAAGAAAGAATTAAAAATGATTACTCTTATTTTTTTTTAATGAAATTCTATTTTTACTATAATTTTAAACTAAATTCAAGATTATAATGATTAACTAAAATTTTGGTAGTATAAACAAAGCAATGTAAAATTTTATAGAGTTAAATAGTATTCTTTTGTAATTTATTAAGAAATCTACAGAATAAATACAATAGATTTTGTAATTCAAATAATACAGCCTAATATTTTAAGTCATTAAAAATATCATTAGAAAGTTTTCAGTTACCATTTTAATAGTTGATTTTTTATTTATTAGTACATTAGAATATCATTACTTTTATTATATTTGTTTAATTGTTATTAAATTTTGAAAAAAACTATAATTTTAAAAATATAGTATTTAAATGTAGATTTTGATTTTAAAATAGAATAAAAGTAAAAATAATATAAATTTTACTTAGTATTTTCAGAAATAATTAATGTAATTATTTTTACTTATCTTTAAGATTTCTAAAAAAAAAAATTAAATTATAAAAAAACTAATAATTCAGATTGCTTCTTTAGAAATTCTTTGATATAATTTAAATCCTTAAATGTTTTTTCAAAAATTAGATTTATTTAATGCACTATACATAATAAAAGATTTTAGATAAATATTTTCTCTATAATTATTATTTAATATGATTAAAATAATATACAAACTATTAATTAATTAAAGATAAATAAATATATAATATAATAAAATTTACTAAACAGCAGAATATTTTTCTATTAAATTAAAAATAAAGCCTTAATATTAATATATTCTTATTATTATTATCAATTATTAATTTTTCAATATACCTAATAACATCTTTTATTTTAGATCTATCTGCACTAATATCATATATATCTCAAATAAATAATTATTTTAATTTAATTAAATATACTATTTTCTATATATAATTTTGTTTTATATTTGTTAAACTAACAAATATAGCATTTATACTATCTTAATAATTTTTAGCAATTTTAATTATTTTATCTTATAATACTTTAAAGCATTTAATTAATACTTACTATATAATTTTTTTATTTTAATAGTTTAATTTCAGATATAAGAAACTAAAAAATAGCAATAGTTTCTTTATTTAATAAATGTAAAAAATAACTATTTGATACAATTAGATAAAATAACAATATTTTAAATAATAAAAAATTTATTTATTAATAATATTAACAGTAAAAATTAATTATTAATAATTAAAGTTATTAAGTAAATTTAAAGATTTTGTAAGTCATCTAAATAGTAAAAGGTAAAATTTAGCAAAAATTATATTAAAACTTTATTAAAAAATCTGCAAAATGCTAAAAAAGTAAAACTATATTAAAGCTTATAAAAATATAAAACTATATCCAGAGTTAGAAAATTAATACAGTTAATATATTTTAGTATAGTTAATATACATAATAATTAATATAAAATTTAGTACAGTAAAGTACAAGTATAGGATCAAAATTTACCTAATATATACAAATTTCCCAATCCTGATTATATTTAAACTTTAATAAAAAATTAGTAAAACTAAAGATTAAATGTTTTGCTAAATTTAAAATAAGTTTATACAAGTAATCTTAATAATAATTAATTTAAAAAGAAGAAAATTGTGATATAAATAAGAAAATTATTAAAGTTTTTGTCATTATTTTCATTTATAAAATTAAAATTAATTTAATTTAATATAAATATAAAATTAAATATATAAAAATAAAATTTAATATATTATTATTATCATTATTATTTATTTTATATGTTTCTTTTTATCTTATAGTACTAGTATTCTATATAATTAAATTGGATTTTGTTTAAATCTTTTTTTTATTTTTATAAATCTGAATTTTGGCAGATTAGTTTAAATAGGATCTCAAAATATATTAAAAGGTTAAATTTGAGTTTATGAAGAATTAACTAAAAAATCATATAGATTTTTCTTTTTTTGATAATATCAGTCAGTATTTTATTACTTATTATAATAATTGATTGACATTATTATAATTCTAGTTTTAAAATTTTACATATAACTAATAGAAAAAATTTTTGATTCTATCTGATCTTTATATAAATATTTTACAGTAAAATACAAAATTCTAATATATTTGATTTTGAAATAATCAGGTTTAAAATTTTTATTATATATAAATAGATCAATATTTTGCAATAATAAAAATAAATCATAATTAAAAATAAATTTACCAATTAATTTTAAATTTTTTAATATGAAATTTTTATTCTATATTTATTATTATTATATTTGAAAATCAATTTTCTTTATTTATTAGTTATATAAGAATTATACAAAATAATAAAAAATAATAATAATAAAATTAAAAAAAGAAAATATAATA